AATAGGATCACAAGTCCACTTCTTGTACAGCAATTAACCACTAAGAAGAATATATGCAGTGTATTATTTGTTGAAACTGTACTTCCGATTGGATTTGAAACTCTCTCATTGCTGTTTATCAATAAAACTTTGAAAAAAAATAATAATAATATGCAATACAATAACCAGTTAATTTCCTATCTTTTTTTGAAATTATGTATCGTTTTTGTTTATTCTCTGTAAAATAATTTCATCATGCAAAAAAAATGACTAACACTAATAAAAATCAGAGATTACTAAATAACAAGTATACTTGGTTCACCACAGACAAAATTAAGTATTTTGTTGAACACTGCCAATAATCATCTAAGTGTATTGCTTAGAAAACATTAGCACTAAATTTGGAAACTGCTCATGCATGTGTATGGGTTTGATAGCTAACAGACACATTTTCCTGTTTGTAAAGGGTTGTTTGGCATTTTACTTGAATTAGAATGTCCCAAAGACTGGTCCTGTCGGGCTCTGCTAATGAACATAAGTAAGACTGCATGCTCCTTGATGAAGTTGAATAAACTCTCCCTGAAATTAACAAATTCATTCCCTCACTCAATTTTGAGGGATTCAGTCTAACACACGGAATCGCTTTGATGAGAGAGCAGATGCTCACATGCCCAGCACTCAGGGGCTCAGTTAGGGTGACCAAGAGCCCAAGGGGCCCGAGCCACCCCCAGTGAGCGCAAGGCCAGCCCAGATCACACAGCGTGGCACTCACAACAATTCAAATACCAGACGAAACAGATCAACAAACAGAAAGCAACAATAATCACAACAACAACAACAGAAATTGAACACATCCCTGAGTCTTCTTTTTTTTTTGCAGTACCAGGGATTGAACTCAGGACCCTGTGCCTGCCAAGCAGGTGCTTCTTCTACTGAGCTCCCCTGAGTCTATATTGTTTAATTTTTTTAAAATTAATTTTATTGAGAAACAAATAGCAATAAGACAGTTTCAAAACAGGTTAGTAGGACAGTTACAATAATTAATACACTGCATACTGTTGTCTTTGTAGTACTCAGAGGTCAAGATGCAGACATGATATCCTGTCCTAACACTATTAGTACAAATCTTTCTTCTCACTGAATTAAGATAAAGTAGCTGTATATCGATCCTAACTATTTTGTATATACCGATACAAAATGGTTTTTCATTTATATTCCTTTTGTTTAGTTTTGTCAGAGATGGGTATTTAATAACTACAGTTTTATTTTCTGGCAGCAGCTTACCATCCTTCTTCTTCTGTGCCAATATGGTCACTTCTTCTCCTTTAGGGAGGTCAAGCAGAAAAAGAACAGCTTCTTCTCTTATGATATTTGTGAAATCTACATTGTTCACCTATTAAAAGATTTCATAAAATTAGTTCTGGTTGCTTTTTAAGAATATAAAAACAGCTGGGTGTGGTGGCACCTGCCTATTATCCCAGCACTTTCAAGACTGAGGCAGGAGGACTGGCATGAGTTCGAGGCCAGCCTAGAATATACAGTGAGTCAAAGGTCAGCCTAAGCTCACCCCTACAGGGTAAGGAGGGAAAAGGAAGCATGAGGGTAGGGAGGGAAATTCCACTATAGACTGAATCTAATCTAGGCTTTCTTGACTTTTCGAATTGCTTTTTCTTGTAGGATATGATGCACCTAAACTCAGGCAGCTTACCTTTTTGCCTGATATAAATCCCACCATGCAGCGCCTGAGCCTTATCTGGGGTAAAGAAGGTCCTGCTACAAAGACTATGTCTCTGGGAGAGGAATACCCGATGCTGCTTACTGGCAAGCTGCGGCCTGTGGCAGTGTCCCGCCATTCTAAATGTTGAGATGAACTTGAAAGATGACCTGGCAGCTACCACAGAGGTCTAAGACTCATCAGTGGCTAAAATAAAGTACACCTCACTGTGCAGTAAAACACAACATTGCAGTAAACACAGCAAACACATGAATGGGAAGTGGCCAGTCCAGCACAGACTAGATCTCATGGATGCTTAACTGGTGCAAGAGACTCCACACAGAAAGCCTGTTGTACCAGATGCCCTTTTTTAAAGAGACTCACAATCCACATAATCTGACATACCCTGAGAATTTGATCGCCTTCCTCTAAACCTTCTTTGGCCGCCGGGCTATCTTCTAGAACACCAGCTACAAATATTCCAACATCATTTCCACCAGCTAGCCGCAAACCCACACTATCTCCTTTTCTGAACTTTACCAATTTCATGCTGGGCCTGTTAAAACAGATCATTTCATTTGAGACAGTTAACAGAAGCTTGAAAAGTTACAACAAACTGCTATAGTGAAAATGATATTCAGAATGGAACAAAGGACCAGAATTTTCTAAAGCCTATCAGAGTTCATTAATTTCTTGGATAAAAGTTATTACAATTCAAAATCAGATTTACAGTAATAGCACTCATGTAAGAATAGCTTCACATAATGATTTTATAAATTTTCCCAATAAAACAATGCCTTCTTCACTCTCAGAGTCTTGAAAATGGGCACAGTGTAATCCCAGCACTATTCTGGAAGCTAAGACAGGAAGAGTGTAAGTGTGAACCCCATCTAGGCAATTCAGCAAGACCCTGTCTCAAAAAACAAAGGGTCAGAGATCGAGCTCAGTATAAAGGCCTTCGGTTCAATCCCTGATATCAAAACAGATTATTAGGTAGATATGTTACTTTTCCAATAGCTAGAAGAACTTTCTGCTTTTTCGTACCCACCCTAATTCATATTGTATTGCCTCTGCTGAGTAACTGAAAAGTCTCATTTTATATAGGTAAAAACTGAAGCACAAATTAACTAATTTCCCTAATATCACAGGGTCAAAATCAAGCTGTAGGGCTTATAATCTCTACAATCAGTAGACAGATTTCTAAACTTTGCAAATGGCAGAGTATTAGTAGTCTGGAGCAGTGTACTTACTCTGTGGCTCCTTTCAATTATAAAATAAAATCATTTGGCTTTCATGGATGTGTCCCATATCCAAACTCTGTTCCACTTTGGGTTTTGATTGTTTTTGTTTTTTTTGTTTTTGGTACCAGGAACTGCACTCAGGACTCTGCGCCTGCCAGGCAAGCACTGTGCCACCAAACTATATCCCTGGCACCCTCTGTACACTTTTGTTTGAGATTAGGAAGGAACAGATGTAGATAGGCACATTCTGTTATCAGAGGAGTGTTGAAACACTGCTCTGTGACATCCTGGAACAAGTCCTGAAGGATCCTTAGATAAATACATGGACAGAGACAGGTCCTGAGTATAATTAGCCGTCACACTTCCTTTCTAGGTTTCTCCTTAACTGTTTATATCCATGATCATAAAGACATGTTTTACTTATATTCACTATTCAAACATGTGGTACAGAAAAGTCTTTTTTCTTCATTTATTAATAAATTATTAGAAGCTAGTAGAAAATAACTAAAAACTACAAATGAAGCAAATAAGTTGAGGGAGGAGAGCCCTAGATAACCAACTAAATAAAAATCATCTGAGCTTATCACACTTACAAAGCATTCAACCTCTGATCTTTCTTTTTAACCTGAACTACCACTGGCTAGACATAAAAGAGCCTATATTTAGATGAGGCTACCTGCTGCCAGGTTGGCAGTGTCCTTCATCCCTCCCTGAAGTGACTTACAGTATCAGCTCTATCGCTGATAGCCTGTGTCCTTTGGTTATAGTGGTATCCTACTTTTTCAATAAGCCAAAGGGATTCTCAAAGACTCCTCTCTTAAAATTTTATTGAGAGTGCTTTTAAGTGTTTTTTGAAACCCTTAGACCCTAGGCCCTTGGAAATCCTCCTCTAACCCCGATCAATCTAGAGTCAAACAATGAAAGTGGCTGAGTGCAGTCTACAAATTTTAATAAAATCTACTTTTCAGAACCAGAGGACAGTTTCCAGGCCATGCCTCAGTGTCACATCCCTGTGCCTGACTGACATTCTGTGCTTTGACAATCTGCACTGTATCAACTGCTTGCAAGTGTAAAATGTGGATCCCTTTTCCTTCAAAGCCACTCACTGAATATCAAATCTTTCTTGGCTCAGCTACTAGTCATACATACATCCCCAAATCCTCTTGGGCATGTGGGCTTAGGGAGATCTCTGGCATCTTACTAAAGTTTCCTAAACCTTAAAAATACGTAAATGTTCAAGTAATTCCCAAGGAAGAAAAAAGAGGAATATGATCTCACAGTGTATAAGTTATCACCAATTTAATATCAAATATGTAAAATTTTAAACTTATGGACTATTCACCTATTAAGGTTTAGATCTAGATGTCCCCCAAAGGCCTAACATGCTCACAGGCGGGACTTCAGGGAGGTGACTGAATTAGAGGTGAGATACTAGATTAGCCCCCTGAAGGAGCACAGGGGTGTGTGATGCAGGGACGTGAAATGTGGTGTGAAGAGTTGGCCCGTGTGGGCATGGCCCAGCAGGGGGTGTGCTCCTCCTCTTCCCTTGACTGCTGCTGTTGCCTGCCTGCCTGCCTGCCTGCCTGCCTGCCTGCCCTGCCATGGGTTCATCCTCTGCCATCCTGCCTTGTTTTGGAGTCAGCTGGTCCTGGAGTGAAACCTCTACAACCATGAGCCACAGATAAACCTTCTCTCCTTTACACTGTGGGTACTGAGTGTTGTACCTCAGCAATACTACAGTACTAAAACATCACCGACTTTTAACACTATTTTTCTGTGTCTTGCTAAGTTAACAACTCAAATCTTGTTTAGCAGAATGAGAAAGCTGAGCATGGGGCACACAACTATAATCTCAGCAATGGGGAGGCAGAAGCAGGAGGACTACTGCGAATTTGAGGCCAGTGTCAGCTATATAGTGAGCTCAAGGCGAGACAAAACTGTACAGCAAGACCCTGTCTCAAATGACAAAGTAAGGGCCAGTCTGATGGCTCAGTGGATTAAAATGCCTGCTTAGGCAGATGCAGGGACCGGGGGTTCGATCCCCTGGGGTACGCTGAGATGGGAATGAGACTGGGCGTGGCGGTGCACACCTGTAATCCCAGCGCTTGGGAGGGTGGAAAAAGGAGGATAACTATGAGTCTGATCTTTGTAAACTATGAGTCTGATCTTTGTAGTGAGACCCTGCACAACCTGTATTAAATACAAAAAAAAGGCCAAAGTAAAATAACAGTGATCAAACCCATTGTATGAAATTCACTAATTTTCAGTGATTCACATCATGTGTCTTTTACCACAGAGGCAACAAAAACTCATTTGACAATCAGAAGAATTTGAAATTATCTTAAAATACTTATACCTCTAATTCCACTAAGTATAAAAAAATTTAGAACAGCTTTTTAACCTATAATTATTTTTCCCTCAGAAGAATTTGGGAATTCTGGTTGTCAGATAGGGATACTTGCTACTGGCATCTAGTGGCCAGTGATGCTGTTAAACACATCAAAATGGAGAAGAAAACACCCTACAATAAACGGTTATCTGCCCCAAAATGTCAACAGTTCCGAAATAGAAAAATATTCACTTATTGATAAAGTACTAGAGTATTAGAAAGCTCATGGAAATTCTATGAACAGTGCTGAGATGTAGAAATATTGTGTTTAGTTAATGCTAAGGTATTAGAAAACCTGTAGAAACCCTGATGACTGAATATAAAAAAGTATTTTTATAATTACTGACCTAAAATCTTTAGGAGACAGTGATGAGAAACAAGACATTCACAAAGTTCTAATTTTTCTCTAAGCTCTCAGTAATTTTATCATGAGATTGCTAAATACAAGAAAGAAATAACCTAGTCATAATCTTATGTGTCATATGCAATCTGATTTGCAATTAAATATCACTCTAGATAATGCTTACTAATGCACAGAGAAGACAATACAATTTTAAACTGCTTTACCGAAGAATCCCATCTTCGTGAGTTGAATTAGGTAGGACACCATCAGAAGGACTGACAGGTAAATCCACATCTGGTTGTCCAACTTGGGCATACACAGGTTTTGGTTCTAAGAAGAAAATTCAAATTGGGCAGGACCCATTTTAGAAAAGTATGTGAACAACCAACAAAATAACTAAACTAAAAATTTCACAAAATAAATATGATTCATCAGCAAAAATAAGTTTAGAGAACCTAGTAAGGATTTATACCGCATGTGCCAGTGCACACTTTCTAGTTACACATTCCAAAGTCTCTGTAACAAGCATGCATGCCATACGGTCACTTAGGTTTCCTACAGTTCCAGCTGGTAGGATCTAAAAAGCCTATAATCTCTACAGAAGAGTAACAGAAGAAAAATAAAGACAATAGACCATGTTTTCTGTTAAGACTGTTCACACAGGGCCAATGAGACAGCGCAGCGGACTAAGTGCCTGCTTAGCTAAGTGCAGGGTCTGGAGTTCGATCTCCTGGGGTTCGATCTCCGGCACCACATGCCACACTGGCCCCACCCCCAGGTGCACTGAACTGGCCACTGAGACTGGGCACGGTGGCGCACACCTGTAACCCCAGTGCTGGGGAGGCTGAAGACAGGAGGATCACTACAAGTCCAAGTTGCGGAGTGAGACCCTGTACCAAGTACATTAAACAAAAGAGAGTATTTCTGGTTAATAGCCACTTGTAGTGAATGAAGTTATTCTCCAACATTGCTCATTAAAGAGGAACATCAATGGATGAGGGTGTAGCTCAGCAGTAAGGTGCTCGCCTAGCATAAGCCCTGGGTTTAATCCCCAGGACCAGTGAATAAGTAACATCAGATTGACTTCAAAACTTTCAAAACAAAAATCATTTCACCTGTTGGAATTTTTTTCATAAATACGTTTAAAAGCTGTATTTAAGGACCCAGCCTAGGAATCGGCAAAGTTCTAAAACTGACTGCTTGTAAGGCCTAGAGATTTTGTTCCGAATGTCTCTCAGTTCCTTCTCTCAAATGTATCTTACTCTGCCTGGTTTGTGGTAAAAATGTGGCTATTTACCAACAGATTTTACCCCAGTAGGGAATGGTGGCTTTGTGGAGTCTGGTATTTGGTACAGGGTCTCACTGCGTAGCTCAGACTTGTAGTGATCCTCCTGTTTTCAGCCTCCCCAGCACTGGGATTATAGGTGTGTACCACAATGCTCAGTCTCAGTGGCCGCTTCAGGGCACCCAGGGGTGGGACTGGCGCAGCACATAGTGCAGAGATCGAGCCCCAGTCCCTGCACTTGCCTAGGCAGGTGTTTAGTCCACTGAACTGTCTCCCTGGCCCCAGAAACGCTTTCTATCTATAAAAATAAATACATTCATGAAAAGTGCTCACTACACCAACCTCCTTCCTACAAAGAAAACCTGAAAGCCACATACAGAAAAACTTACATATGAGTAATATGGCAACTGCATCTTTAAAATCGTCCACAAATCCTGACAATTAGTTTCACAGCAAATGTTTTTGGAACCTAGCATACTGTTATGCTTACCTGGAAGAGGTGGTGTTTGCTTGTCATTTCTTTCAACTGTAACTTCTTCCACTGTTTTGGGGGTATGATTGTCTGTATGTTTTATAGGAGTTGAAATGGCCCCAGGCTTAGACACTCTTTCATCCTCTCTGCTGCGAAGACTACATTGTATTAAAATTTAAAAAAGTGTAAGAATGATTCTGAAAATCCTTTGTGGAAAACAGCACAAGAGAAAGCAAGAGAGTTTCAACAACTGTGACAAGAATTTTACTCTAACAATTATCAAAATAAAAATAAGACACTGGCACAGAAAAGGTGAAAACTATTAATATTAAAGTTACAATGGGGCTGGGGAGATAGCTCAGTGGCATAAGCTCATGCCTGGCAAGTGCAAGGTCTTTAGTTCAATCCCTGGTACCACCACCAAAAAAAAAAAAAAAAAAAAAAAGCATTAAATGAAGCACATAATTTCAAGTGATGCACAAAATAATAAGTTGTGCTGAAGGTAGAAAACAGCTATCAATACTTAGGGCTGGGGATACAGCTCAGTGTTTAAGCGCCTAGCTGGCAAGCGCTTAAAGTCCCAGTTCAATCCCTGATACTGCAAAAAACAAAATTTTTTTTAAAAAGTTACAATGCACTAAACTGTGTGCACAGATATAAAAAAGCAAAATGTGAAGACATTGAACTTACAGGATAAATAGTGTGACACTGTTTAGTTATTTAAGCTTCTCTTCTACTTTCACATAACAAACAGACAACAGCAGGTTGCCTCAGAGGGAAAAGTAAATAAAACAGCAGCCCAGAGGAATTTTAAATTTATCTATATAATTTCATTTTTTTATAATTTCAATTTTTTTTATAATTTCAATTTTTGTAAGACTATGTTTCTACATTACTTATAAGGGTAGAAAAATAAGTCCAAAGATCTGCGTAAAGGCCAAAGATTTTGCGTGTGTGTGTGTGTGTGTGTGTGTGTGTGTGTGTACCAGAGACTGAACTCAGAACTTTGAGCTTTCCAGGCACGCACTTAAACTGCTGAGCCATCTCCCAGGCCCGATTTTTGGTTTTCTTACTGACTCTGCCTATTTCTAAATCTCTTATCAACAAAGATTTTTCATGTTTTCTTCCTGAAGAGGTAAAACAATAAATAAGCACTTCTCACAGCTTCTATCTTCCTATTCATTTAACCATCCTGTAGGGGTCAGTCTCACAGGAAAATCAACACTATTAAATGTTTGAAACAAAACAAGAGTGAGCTACTTTTAAGTCATAAAAAAATCAAAATCTCAGCTATTATTTAAATTACCATAATTAGCTAAATATAAAGAACTACAGCAAAGTTTTATATATCTATTGTACTAACCTCCTCTGATTATAAAAGGGCAATACAAAAACAGTACTCCACATTCTTTTCATTAAAAACTCCAAATGATATAAATACACAATAAGATTAAGGAACTGTATAATTTAAAAGCTGTAGATTTCTTTTACTCTGTAACATGTAGAATTTCAACTATTTTTTTAAAAGGTAAAAAAAATTCCAATTAATTTTTTATCTTATAATTAAAAATATTCCACACATCCAAAATGTGACCAACATTATCATCTTGGTATCTTAACTTAAAATCAAATGTAACATTTTAATTCCATTATTATTTGTTATACACTTAAGGCTATTGTTCCATATAGCACAAACTCCTGCTAGTAATTCTATCTTTGGCTATTTTTTATATCGAGCTATCACCCTACTGTCCTTGGTACTTATTATAAACATGAAGGCACTCAGTTTTTCAAATTAACATTTCACAGATGGAAGTTGTACCACTGTTAGATTTTTCATTTATGCTTAGAAAATTACTTTTTCATGCATTTCCATTATCTACCAAAAGATGGAAGCATTATTCAGCACTACACAAAGATGCAGGGCAGTGCTGTTTGACTGAATTACAGTAAGTTGCTTACATTTAAAATTTTCTAAAATATATCAAGTAAAATCAATGAATAAATTATCAATAAATCATAAATGAGGTATTTTATTTTTTCTGTATACTCAGTCTTCAAAATCATGAGATTTAAATACGTATTTCATACTTAAAATACCCCTCAGTTTGGCCTGGCCACATTTCAGGTGCTCAAAAGCCACACATGGCCTGTGAGCATGGCTCCGGTGACAATAGCATGCATGCCACACCAGGCTCTTTGTTATCATCAAAAGCTCTAAAACTTGTTAGGTTTGCCATCACTGGACTATGATATTGGGCAATGCAGATTTAGAGTTATAGTACTATATAAAACAAAAGGCTCTACTTTTCCAAACATTTGAAATATTTCATTATAAATAAATGTGACCACTAAGTCAGGATAAAATCAAACATACAGAAAAAGTGGCAATTACTGTAAGCAACTGGTAAGTCAGTCAAATGAAATTCTACCCAATAGGCTCTAAAATAATATTTAACAATATTGAAGCTAAAAATATATAAAATGACTCAGCAATGAGGGCAGGACTGATGCTCACAAAGACAGACTGCCTCAAACACTAAATTAAAACTTTTTCTCAAGAGACTAAATCAGTTTTACATCATTTCTTAAACAGCAGAACTTAACCTCTGTAACACAAAATCGTTTATATAAACAAAACTAAATCCAAATAAGAAACTGCACAGAATTCCCGTGATGCTTTTTACAACAGCATTTTACTCAGTTCTAAGTATTTTAGAATTAAATTCTCACCACCAAATCTGAAAATTCAAAGGCTTTTGTTAAGAGAATGATAAAAGGAGTTTATGAAAAGTACACCTTGCTCCCACCTCAGATGCACTGAGCGAGTCCCCTCCTAAGGTATTTTTAAAACCTTTCATGTAACTGGTACTACCCATGAGAATATATAAGACACTTATTAAGAAGTAAAATATCCTGAAATAACATAGTTTTTTTTTTTAAAAAAAAAGATGCCAAGTCTTTAGAAAGTTTAAATGAAAAAAAGTTTAAATGAAAAAAGTATGAAGAAGAACTTTCTGAGGTATAAAAATTACTTGTAATTAAAAAAGTAATCAAAATTTTGAGATTTTGATGAACATACCTTTTGTCTTTAAAGGGAAAGTCATGTCCAAACCGCTTGGTATTAACATGGCTTCCAGACGTGAGCAACACATTACACTGCAGCTGCTCCCAGGAATCACTTAAGTGCTACTTATCTCACTGAGTATGTGTGCTGGCAGCAACCCTTTTCTGGATAACATCTTTACTGAGTGAGGGAGCTCTTTACAATTAATAATGTTAACTTGTAACAATTACAAGTAATCATTAGTTATAATAAGCCAGTTTTATATTTGGTATAACACAGTAGTCCCTTAAAAAATCATTATAAGCTTAAAATAAAGACCAAGGCTGGTATAAATTATAAATCTAGAATTTAAAATTTACAAAGAATCAGCTTCACAAATATTGAACTACACTGAACACCAAACCAGTACCACAGTAGTCACTCCTGTCACATTATTTCCCATTTTAGGAGAAAGCAAAACATCTCTGTAAATAAAAGTTTTAAAAATTGAATCACTTCAAAAGCTCTCTCCAGCTAAGTACAGCTCCTCTGTCTTTTCCTTTGCCTCTTTACCTTCCTGTAAGAAATATGCTTCTAGAATATATGCAGTGTATTATCTGTTGAAACTATACTTCCGATTTGATTTGAAACTGTCTCATTGCTATCTGTTTATCAATAAAATTTTGAAAAAAAAAGTTTTGTTCAGTTAAAAAAAAAAAAAAAGAAATGTGCTTCTAGTTCTAAGCCTTCTCTCCATATTCGTCTCTTAGAATTTTAGTGATTTCCTCAGCTTTAGAAAACACTTCCCCACAGATAAACTTCAAACACCCTGAGTCCTAAATGGTCTCTTCAGCTATAGATCTAAACCTTCTTAGCTTTGTTGAGATGTAACTGACAAACTATGTATTTAAGATGTTCAATGAGATGTTTTGATATATGCATATATCACCAAATGATAACCAACGATAATCAAGGGGGCTTGCAGATTAAGCTAAGTTGTTTAAGCGCCTGCTGGGTCAATCTCAGTCAGGCACAGGGGACCACGGTTCAATCCCCAGCTGCCCATGCCCTAGCAGACCAGCCCTTAAGGCAGCCTGAACCAGCCCCCCTCCCAAAAAAAAAAAATTAAATAAATAAATAAATTAGCATATCTGTCACCTTCCATTCTCTGTATTTGTGTACGTGGTGAGAATATTTAGTATCTACTCTCAGCCACGCAAGGCGGCACATGCCTGTAATCCTAACCTTCAGGGGATTAAAGCATGAGGATCACAAGTTTGAGATCAGCCTGCCCAGTTTAGCAAGACCCCGTCTCAGAAAATAAAAAAGGCCAGAGATGTGGCATATATGAAGGATCTATGTTCACTCTCCAGTATGGCAAAGGGGAAAAAAGAAGCCAAAGCCCCCACCTGTTTTCAGAGCACACTTCACGTACACAGAGTTAACTCGGGTCACATCATACATTAGTTCTCCACCACTTACTCATTTTGTAACTGAAGCTTATGACCTTTGACAAATACGCTCCCATTTCCTTCATCCCCCAAATCCTTCTACTCCGCTCCTATCGATTCAACTTTCCAGGCTCCACACTGAAGTGAGAGCATGCAGTACTCGTGTCTTTCTGTGTCTGGCTTATTTTATCTAAACTACCATAATGCTCTCTAGACTTATCCATGCAGCTGCAAATAGCAGCACTTTTTTCTCAGGGCTAAAGAGTATCCCTCCATGTTTGTGTACAGTTCTATCCAATGATGTAGAGACTTAATTTATACCTTGGATATTAGGAATATTGCTGTAATTAATTTAGTGCTTTTCTTTCTTTCAGATATATACCGATGTGGAGCTGCTACATAACATGGTGGTTCGATTCTGAAGTGTATCAGGAACTGCTGTGCAATTTTCCAGAAGGCTATACCAGTTGACTTCCTGTGAACAATACGTAAGGGTCGCCTTTTCTCCTCAACTGTCTTCAGTTCTGGAAAAAGACATCTCCACATCCGACTTGCAAATGCACGACACCATACAAGGTAAATTCAGGTCACATACTAATCAATACAAATCCTTTGGCATGAAAATGCCAGACAGTGCTTTTTGTAAAAAGAAAAAATTCAGATTAACCTACTGGTGGATTTCTACTACAGTTAATCTTCCCAAGCAGTAGATTCTAGAAGCTGGCTAGCATCTTCTAAGACAATGAGTTGGCAAACTGTGGCTGTAGGCCACTGGTTTTTATAAATAACATTTTGCAGAAATATTGCCGCGCCCGTTCATTTCCATGTTGTCAGTAGCTACAGAATTGAGCAGTGACAGTGCAGAGTCTGAAATATTTACCAAGTGGCCTTTTACGAAGAACTCTATCTTCTATTATTCTAGGTAAGAAATACCTAAAGTGAGAAGGAAACAACAGATCTAATCTTGAATAATCAAATAATCTATCATCTAACTTATTTGTACGGGATTCCAGATACACATGCCAAGGAAACAACTATTCCTTCAGGCGCCAGGAAGCTATTACCTGCCACTGCTGGGCTGCTGCGGAGAGTGTCTGGAGAGATCGGAGGGCTCCGAGCGCTGGTCAGGAGACCGTGATCGGCTGCGGCGGGGAGGCCTGTCATGTGAGCGACCGGAATGATCTGAAGCTAGTGACTGAATTTCTGAAATGTCTGTGAGATAAAAAGGCGCTACTTACTTCTCCATCAAATTACTGCAATAAAGCATAGAGTACTCCAATAATATTCATATGAAATAAGCTACTAAGTATGATTTCACACTGAGCACTAACTGTATCAGCCAGAGATCAAGTCAAGAGTGGAGAGCTGCCTACACACAGACAGACACACTCTCACACACACACACACTCCCCAGATGTTAGATTATAAAGGTGTCTGGCTTATGGAAAGTTACCATTTCACTCAAACACGACTAATCTTCCTAGTACTTAAAAGAAACTACTCAAAAGGAAAGAACAACTTGGATGGGGGTAAGGAAAAAAAAAAAGGGAAAATAAACTGCAAGATAGCTAAAATAACGTACTACTAACTTTTATTAGTTCATTGAAAGGAACAGTTAGTGCTTATGTTAATTTTGCATACATATATCTATTAATCTGAGCAACTATTTTGAAGGTAACAATATGCGATACACTAATCATTGTTAATTTCCTATCATCTTGAAAAGTCACCTTGCTGGGCGTTGTGACAGTTCCCTATAATCCCAGAGGCACTGAGGCAGGAGGCTTGCCAAGGCCAGCCTCAAGCCTAGGTGATATAGCGAGACCTTGCCTCAAAAAAAGAAAAGAAAGGAAAAGAAAAGAAGGAAGGAAATAAGTTACCTGGAAAACCCCAAATAGAAATTTACTTACCATCTCTTTCAGACGCATTAGCAGAATGGATACTGTCAGAAAGGTCAGGGACGTTCAAGAGGGTCGCCCGCTCATCTCTCTGAACTACCATTTTTAACTTGCCTTTAGACCTTTCTATCAATGTCTTTGCATCTGTCAGTGACATATTTTCAGTGACAGTACCATTTATCTGCAACAGAAATGAAACTATATATTGAAAATAAATGACAAAGTACAAATGTTAGCTTACTCTGTTCTACTGTAAACAGGAATATTCAAAGTACTCAATGCTGTGCTCCTAAGAATCACCAAAATATTCCCTTTATACTTTACTGAATCATCAAAATATTTCACCTTCCTGAAATAATACTAATATTTATGTCATTACTGCTCTGTCAGATAAACCCCAATTGGTATCTCTTAAACCCTATTCCAAAGCTGGTTACATTCTATTATTTATAAGCAAACGAAGAAAACAAGTATTTCAGTAATATCTGGAGCAATTATCAAAACTACTTAATGTGTAAGAACAGAAATGCCCACCTACAAGGTGGCATCTGCTTGTGAATGATATGTATTTGTAGCAATTAATTCTCACAGGATAACCCTATAGCTAACCTATCATTGTAGGTATAGTAATAGACAGGGACAACTTAACTCACTCTCCCTTGAACACTCATTTTTAATTCTCTTTGGCAAAGGTGCTTGAAACATAAGCAGGGGCTATGAGTTAACACTAGAATTTATTTTTTATTTCACTTCACTAAAATGTAAAAGTATGACTATACCTTTAATACAACATCGCCTTCTTGAATATTGCCATCTCTTGCTGCCAAACTATCTTGTGAAATTTCCTTTACAAATATATGGCTGGCCAAGCGAAGACCATATTCTGAAATAAAATATTTGAATGTCTTTAATGTAATATAAGACAATTACTGTATAAAGAGTTTTTAAGGACAATCAATGACTACTTCAGAAGAAAACAAGACCAGTAACTGTAATTATCAGTCATCCAAAAAAAAAACCACAACAAAGGCATGACTGAATAACTACAAGGCGGACAACACAGTACGTAGGGACAACACAGTATGTAGTGACTCTTGTAATTGTCCTAATAACCTATTGTGAAACTTGGTTTCACTGTTAGGTTTATCTTTTTAAAAAAGGAAAAGAACAACTGGGATGAGGGAAAGGAGAAAAAAGGACACACACAAGAGAGCTAAGGAAGAATTAATGCTTAGTTCTTTGATCAATCTTGCATGCCTATATCTAGTAATCTGAGCAACAAATCTAATGATAACAATGTGTAATATAACAACCATTATTGATTTCCTATTCTTGTTTTGAAATTCTGTATCACTGTTACTGTTTTTTTATTTCTTTTTGTCTTTATTGTTTTTTTCTCTTTAAAATAAAACTTTTTTAAAAAATGTATTTATTAGTACAGAGTCTACAGGGTCTCACTGCACAGCTTGGACTCTTAGTGAGCCTCCTGTTTTCAGCCTCCCAAGCACTGGGAATACAGGCAAACGCCACCATGCCCAGGTTCAGTCACCATCTCAGCCTGCCCTGGGGACGGGGCCGGCAAGGCTTGTGGTGCCGAGGATGAGCTCTGCCTAAGCAGGCACTTTAGTCTGCCGAGCTATCTGGCCGGCCTGTAAAAATAAAACTTTTTTTGAAAAGGTATGAGTAACTTTGTGAGGATAGCAAGGACTCTTCCTTTCACTGTATTCAAAACTAAGACCAAACTAAAAGCCACCCACAAAAACCAGAACAAAATTAAATTAAAAACCTAAGACAAAATACAGAACTATTTTTACTCTGAGGTAAGTCAGCAGACTTGGTACTGAAGAATCCAAAAGTTCTATTACAGTTCCAGTTTACCATAAGGTAGATGTGCTCACAAACAGTGCTCACAAACTGAACTAGGAACAGGAGGAGGAAAGAAAATGGCTCTAGGGGGCCCAGGCAAGGACCCAGGCAAGCAATACGCTTTATAAATGGGCATTATACGACAGAAAAGTATAAAGGGATACTAAATGACTGTCATACAGATGACCCTAAAATAGTCCTTTATATAATATAATGTGTATTTATATATTCTTTTAAAAATACTGGGCATTTTTCCAGAAGAACCAGAAACACACCAATATATATACACTCAAGTTTATAGCAGCGCAATCTGTCATAGCTAAATCCTGGAAAAAACCCAGATGCCCATCAACTGAGGAATGGATAAAAAAAGATGTGGTATTGTGGTATTTTTACACTGTGCAGTATTATTCAGCTATAAAACAGGACAAACTTGAATCTTTTGTTGGTAAATGGATGCAATCAGAGAACATACTCTTAAGTGAAATAAATCAGATCTGCATGTGCAAACATCGTATTGTCTCCTTAGCACGAGAACCCAAGAGAAAAATAGAATCTGAAGGGTACAACAGATACTGGGAAAAGGGAATGAACTTATTCAAAAGCAAAGAGTTACTGAGTTGAGAAGGACAGGAGAAGGAAAAGAGATTATCTATGTCTGTAAGCAGGATGGTCTGGACAACTGTACTGTGCATTTCTGCTGGTCTACAGAAAGAAGCAGTTAATGCTTTAATTTGTTTTGACTTCTTTTGTCAATCTGTACTTTTTTTTCTTAATTTCTTATACTTTTCTTTCTTCTTCCAATTTATATGCATATATCTGGTAATATGAATAACTGTCTGAAAGACAACACTATGTATTAGAACAAATACTGTGAAATTCATATTACTTCGTTAAGATAAATTCTGTATCATTTGTAATTTTTCATTTTAACTCTAATTGGTATTCTTTAAAAAATTTTTAAAAATTAAAAATTTCTTTATCCAGTTTTTCCACATATTTCCTCAGGTATATGATAAATATGCACCAGAACTGTGGGGAAACAGCAAATGAGATGCTCCCTGCATTCGGGCAACTTACATTATGCAACCACTGGAGAAAAAGATGTGCATTACCAAGGCAATGAGAAGGGCAAATATGGCTCTACATTTGGTAGGGGGGTTAGAAACACTCCTTGAGGAAGAGATCCTAAAGCTCAAACTTCAGCTAAAAGACATTAAAATTAAACCTGAAGTGTGTGTGTACACCTGTGTGCATGTGCTAAAGGAATGATTTTAAAATGTACCAAAAGTATAAAGGAAAGAAGCTGGCAGGTGTGAAGACCTAAGTCTAGTGTATGTAGTTGGTAATGAGAAGAGTATCAAGATAGGGCCAACAGAACAATCCACAGAAACATCAAAAGAAGAGTCTATATACAACCCACTAAAAAGGATCCAGAAAAAAGCCATGAGATAAGAGTCCCCCGAGCCAGACATGGCGGCACACACCTATAATCCCCGCACTTGGGAAGCTGAGACAGGAGAAATGCTGTGAGTTCAAAAACAACCTGAACTGCATAATGAAACGCTATCTCAAAAAGACAGAGAAAGATGGGAGGGGAGGGGAGAGGAGAGAAGGGAAGGGAGAAGAAGGGGGAGGGAGAGAGCAGGGAGAGGAGGTGGCAAGTAGGCAGGCCCTGAGGAGTGAGTCCCTCTCCACCCAGGGTAGTAAAGACAGAAGTGGGACAGATAAGACTGGTATGTAGGAAGACATTAATTAAGCACAAGGAGAGCAAAGATGTCAAGGATAAGTGCCCTGGTATCTGTGGCTGGCTTGAGATGGATTCCAGATCTTCACAGTGAGCCACAGCCTCAGTTCTTCCATTTTTTTTATCCTGAGACAAGTCTTATGAAGTCACTAAATTACTCAGGCTGGGTTTGAATTTCCAATTCTCTTCCCTCAACCTCCCAGAGTGCTGAGGTTACTAGTATACACTACCATAACTGCCTTTTTTTAAACAAAAATGATCAGTCATATATAACCAAAGCAACAAATCCACTATTCAAAAATCTAATTTGATGATGACTGAGAGAAAGGAGCTGGGCATCAGCTTAAACTTGGGTATGAGTCCTGCCTTTCAGAGAAATGTCCTTTAACAGGTCCCTTCTTTTAAATCCCTCCCTTTAAAAAGCAGCCTTTAGCCAACAAAATGATCAAAGTCACTCTTTCATTGTCACACTAATACTGACCCTAACTGAATTTCAACTTGGTGAGGGTGACATTTCTTTTTATATATTTGGCTGTTCTCCTCTTAACAAATCCAAAATCTGAATACTAAACAATTCACTCAAAGTATAATCTGCTTGCAAAATGATTTAAGAAAATGGCCAGTCATTCAAACCTGCCATAACACATTCTACCTTCCAACATACGAACAACAAAGCAGAGAAACAGAACAAAGATGTGACGCGACGTCAGTTGTACCTTCCAGTAACCCTAGTCTTAAACCCTCCACGTGAAAAGAGCAGTGAAAGCGCTGGGACCGAATACCTTCATTTTTCCGAGACTTCACCAGCGTGACTCTGGTGGGCTTGGCAGGCTGACTGGAGGCCACAGAGCGCCTGTCCGAGCGCGGAGACAAACTCCGCTCTCTACTTGCACTCCTATCCCTTGCCCAACTTTTCTCACTCCTTCTGTTAACCACACCACCACGGCTACTTCTTGGCTCATGTACTTCCTCCTCATAACTGTCTTCTTCATTGTCAGAAACTGGCTCAGGATCAGGACGACTTACTGGTATCTGAACTTTCTTCTTTCTTCTAATAGTCTACAAAACAAAAATTTTTTTCACTTATTTTCATACCTGCAATTTCAGTTCCTAAAAGAAGGGAACAATGCTCTTCTCCTGTCCAGTGTTAATTTAAATATCAATGAAAAAGATACACAAATAAGTACAACCAACTACTTACTAAGCAATATACTTCCATAATGGCTGTTTTCTGGTTAAGCAACAAATTAAGTGGGTTTAATAAATCCTTATTTACTTTATTCAGAAACATATTCCATTGTAATAACCATAAGCTTATAGAAAAACTGGTAATGGCTGGTAGGGAAAAAAAGCCACGATACTCAAGATCATTCTGCCAAAATTACAAAAACTATCATATACTTATAAGCCCTACTTGATTCCTTAATCAAACTGCTGGCCTGTATCTGTATCAAAGCCCAGTCACCCTGCAAGCCCGCTGAGATGAAGTTATTTACCACACAGCAACATTCACCATAGGAGGTTGCAGCTAATCAACTCTGACTTCACCTACACGAACTGCCTCCACTTCTCTCACTTCACTTGTAACTTCCCACATAGGCACATGTTCTTTCTTCTGCCCTGACTTTCTCAAGGCTCTGTTTCCCTGTTCACATTTCTCACTGTCTGTAGTCCAGGTTGACATGTACTACCTTCTGATCAACAAGGCTCTGTAATCTTGGGCTGCACCATGCCTCCTCACATGGGCACACACCAAAGCATGAAGACCTGAAGGTGCTTCTGGGGTAACACCTGTCTTCTGATGGAGTCAGCCATATCCCCTGAAAACTTTCACAGTCCATCTTCTTTCCAATTCTTTCACCCTCTCCTACTCTCACCCTACCAACTCTCTGGTTTCACTTGCCTTCCTCCCAAGTTTGCATGGCGTTGCATGCTGCCACACTTGAATGATTTTCTACTGACTACTCCATCATATGCCATGCCAAATACCGGCCCAGTACTCTAAAAGCATTTCTAACTGACTCCCTCCTTTTAAGACTCACCTCTTTCTTCTTTAGTCTCCAACATGGTACACTGGGAGAAATACTCTCTATTACTACTTCAATAGGCCATGAGTCCCAAGTAATATCTAAACAAAGGCCTTTCCTATCATCCTGGTAAAAGAGCTACCTGTATGGAAATCTACTGTATCCGGGCTATTCTCAATTATAGTTGTATGTGTGCATACTCCTCTAGCCTACTAAGATATAAGTTCCCTGTCACATACTCAACTGTACATACAATGGAATTTTTGTACCCACTAGGGTACAACTGAAAAACTGTCATTTACTTTACAGTTAAAGCTACAAACTCAAGTAATACCTTGCAGGTTTGACAATAACGCTTGACATTTTAGGAACAAATCATTTTCGGGAAAGATACCCACTTCAAAACAGTTTAGCTGAATTATTCACATGGAGAATAAAATAAAACGAAACCATGTATGTACTATTATAAAATACAGGACAGAAGTTCTGAAAACTGTGGTAAGGTAAAAAGGCTTTTTTAAGCAAGATACCAACAGCAGGACCAATAAAGTGAGTCTTGGGCTGGGGAGACAGCTCAGTGGAATAAGTGCTAGCCTCGCAAGCACAAGGTCCTGAGTTCTACCCCTGGTACCACCAAAACCAAGAAGAGAGTCTACCAGACATGACAACATAAAAATCAAATGTTTACATACTAAAATTATACAAAAAGAAACAAAAAAACCCTATAAACAATTTGCATATACTTACAAATGTCAAATGAGCACACAATATATTAGTATGACACAAGAGTAATGATCTTAGTAAATAAACACATTTACCATACAAACTCAAGGGACATGGACAGGAAAATAAAACAAAACATAAAAGGCAGTAACACAGGGTAAGAAGGTTAAACCCACTTGGGACTTTAAATATTTCACTTGAAACACTTAAGTTACCCTGGGTTTGATCCTTAGCACTGCCAACCCTGCTCCAAAAACAGTTCTATTAAAATGTTTACGTAAATTTGGCAGATTCAAAGTGTTGATGAAAATGAATTCTAACTATATAATTCATTTTCAAAAAAAGCAGCCCACATTGTCATTAATAAATTCTGGGCTAGCTGGGCATGATGGTACATGCCTGTAATCCCAGCACGTGGGAGCCTGAGGCAGAAAAACCATGAGTTCAAGGCTGGCCTAGGATAAGAGTAACATCTTGTGCCTTAAAACAGAACAGGAAATCAAAGTCATTCATGGCCTCTGACTCTGAAAAGCCACCTCTAGGAAGTAAACAAGAAAGTATTTGTGTAACAAACTTCACTTCTACTTTCTTAAATAGCTGTGGAACTAATCAGCAATGCCCCCCAGTGAGTGAGCCAGGTGAAGCGCCTGCATATTATAGCAAAATGCTACACAACCGTGTAGATGTGTAAACTGGCTAACTCACAAACATTACCACTAGAGCAGGGCGTGTGATTTTTTTTTTTAAGTATACTATGAATTTTAGTAAAAATTTAAATGCTATATTTAACAATAAATCTAGCTGCTGTTCATCTATAGTTAAATTAAGCATATTTATAGGAGCTGTAGTATTGGAAACTACAACATTTTAATTAAATGGAAATCACTTATTGAACCTACTGCCAAAAAGGCTTTTGGCTTATGGAAAGGTAATCACACCACTAAACACTATGATGTAGGAGCGCAGAAAAGAGAGAAGTTGCTCATTTGGAAATGGGGGTGAAAAATCACCCAAAAATCAAATACATAATGCTCTTGAGGTTTTAGATGCTCCAATTATGTTTGGGGATAAGATGTTAAAAGAAAGGGGGTAGGTAGCTTACAAGGAAAGATCAACTCCACAGACTGGGTTTTATTCTAAAATTAATTTTGCAATGAAAGACAATATAAATTAAGGATATGATCCAACCTGCTTGAGTGCAGGAATGAACAGGTATTCTTTGCTAATTGAAACACTTCTACCAGGTCTTCTACAGCTTCTCCCCAGAAAAGCAAAGAATCTATGCTCAAGCCTCTTGTCCAACTGATAAAATTTCTGAGCTGGCCCACATCCCCTTACACGTCATCCAAATATGTGCTATTTCAAATACTTTCTTGATTTTAGATCTTCTTGTTGGGAAAAGTCTAGAATACATGAACACAACCTTCTCAGTGTATTATCAACGTGAGGCATGTACACTAAATACTTAGTGTGTAAAGACAAAACAGCTGGACGTTAACAGAAAATTGGAGGACTTAAAAAGAGAAATGGGTAAACGAGCACAGCTCACCAACTCAGGCATGCAAGTTAGGAACCAAAGAAGGTGCTCCCTTGACAGGTGCAGTGCCCCATAGGAAAAATACTATGACTAGCTCAAGTCAGTAACTTCTGAGGATAACCCACTAATATTATAGACTGCTAGACAGTGTTAGATTGTTTAGCTGAATTCAAACACCTATAGTATTTAGATGCCAATAGAATACCCACCTCTGACAGGACTAAAAAAAAGGGGAGGAATACAAAGGAAAGATCATTTTGTATTTATATATACAAAATAGTTAGGATAGGTTTACAGCTACTTTCACTTAATTCAATGAGAAGAAAGAGGTGTACTAATAGTGTTTGGACAGGATATCCTGTCTGCTTCTTGTACTATGGAAAATCACTAAGAAGATAACTATGTACAATATACTGATTATCGAAACTGTCCTATTAATCAGCTTTGAAACTGTCTCATTCATATTTGTTTCTCAATAAAATTAAAATTAAAAAAAGAAAAATACTATGACAAATACTGCTCAGGGTCAACAGCTAAATAAAGAAATCTAAAGCTTACTCTGCAACTAGAAAAAAAGCTTATAAAAAAAGGAAGGTCATTATAAAAATCAGCAATTTACTTTTATAATCTTTGCATAAAAAATGTTTAAAAACGCTATCACCCACTAGGCAGTGAGTGTACTGAAAACTGAAAAATAACACTATAACTATAAAAATATGTTTACAACGAGATTCTAAAAACAAATAAACAGAAGATGTCCATTAGCAGTAAGCTAATAATGGGTCTACTGCAATACGAGAACTCTCCTCGCACCAGCCACAGCGCTGGTGCAGACAGGTACTGGCACGGTAGTGCGCGCAGGCTGAGAACCCGGCACCTGCTGCAGGCAGAGCCCCAGGATGCCCCTCCCAGCCCTCATCATGCGCCGCATGCGTCCACGGGGCCCACTGCAACTGAGTGGTAGATGGTGAAAGGCTCTACAACAGGCAGCTCAGGCCACGGCCTCCTACCTGCCTCTCGCTCCTGCTCTGCACAGTGAGTGAAGGCTCCCGCAGGGTCTTCACCGTCCTTGGAGGCCGGGCAGGGCAACCAGGCAAAGAGATGAACGAGGGAAGCGGCTCAGGTGCTCATCAATGTCATTCTATGTGAGACTTTCACATCAAATCTGTTCTACACCACATTTGCCAAGTTTTAACTATTAAAGGCCAGGTATTAAAAGTTAACTTCATCCCCTTACCTAAAAAAAGTAAACCTGGGCTGGGAACAGAACTCAGTGGCTTAAGCACCTGCCTGGCAAGCGCGAGGTCAATCTCCAGTACCAAAATAAACAAATAAATAAATTTACTTCTAGGAAAATAATAAAATAAAATTTTGTTATACAGTGAGACAGGAACATGAAAGGCACCTGAACAACTCTACAAGAAATTCTTCCACTTTCTCCTTCCCATATCACAGTAACAAACAGGTGATGATGTGGATTCCAGGTAGTGTAAAATTACTCTAGTAAATGGCAGTGCAGTCAGGCCGACTATCTGTCAAGATCCAGTGAGAGGTTAAAAGAGAACATGAAGCCATCAAAAGCCCTTCAACCAGCACCTTTCCTGTTCTAACTGGGTAGGAAAAAAACTCAGTATCTGAAAAACACACACCAGTATTAGAGGACATACAAACTCTTCTTTATAAACAACTTTGGAATTACTGTTTCATTTTTCATTTTCCTAAAAGGAAGGAAATAAACAGGAGAATATAGTTGATACTACTAAGGTGACCATAAAGATACTTACAATTTTTGCATTTTTCCCACTTTTTCTGAGTTGCTGAACAGCAAAGGCATGCTCAACATTATCCATTGAAACTCCATTAACCATTGCAACCCGGTCATTTTCCCTGGGGAGAAAGAGTCCCGAAACAACACATCAGAGATAAAAACATGCAGGCAAGTTTGTGGAGAATGTTCAAAAAATAAAATTCTGAATGTGGGCAGATTGATCTATTTGTCTTCTGAGCAATGATACCAGTACTTCTCTTTCAAAAATTATTCTCCTTCTAAATTTCTTTCAATCCTTCCGATTAGTCTCATTTTTTCTCTTGTATCTTATTTTTTTTAATTTTTATTTATTTTTTTTCTCTTGTATCTTTCTAACCTTACTATGACACAAAAAGACAAAAGTGAGCCCCTCCGAAAGTCTAGACTACTTAAAAGTTTTTTCTTTATTTTTACATCTACATGCTATGTAAAGTGATACTAACTTTTCACTTACTATTAAGCTTATTTCTTAACTATGTTCCTTTTAAGGGAAAATATTAACTGTACCATGCTAGGCGTGGGGTATAAATACAATAAAATCACTAACAAAGCAGGCCAGTGAATGGAGGCAAGAACAGTGCTTGACGCGGGCATCTGAGAGGAGAAACACTTACTGCAGCTGTCCTTCTGCTGGGCCTCCCTTCAGCACGTCGGAAATCACTATCGAGGTCTCCCCACTCTGGAAATGAGGATTATCTCTTCCACCAGATATTGCAATTCCAAATCCGAATCCAGGAGCCTAAAGTAACAATTACAGTAAACACTGCTATTGATGATAAAAATAATTGCTCATTACAGCATATGCTACAATCTAGAAAAGTTTGACTACAGAAATTACAAAATTGCTGTATCTGTTACCTACACTTAATTGTATGGCTATGTAGTAGAGTTATTTATCCTTTTATCTTTATATGAGAATGCATGCTCTAATAAATACTGGACATAACAATATTAAAAACTGTCAATTACAAAGAAAGTTAAGAATTAAAAGCTTTGGGGCTGGGGAGATGGCTCAGTAGAATAAGTGCTTCCCTGGCAAGCACAACTTCTTTCAGCTACTTTAAAATCTGTCATAGTAGAATATAATCTAACATTGTATACAATATAAAGCATATATTATTTATGGCTTTTACATTACATACTTATATTTAGCTAAAATAAATTGTAATAAAGTAAAAACTTGTGAAAGAGCTAAAAAAAATCTTTAACATAATGACTAAGGATAGCCTAATACAGAAAAAATTCTAGTTATCTCCAAGTTATTAAAGAAAATCACCTAATCTCAAGGAAATCCACACCATTCCCTAAGATAGAAATAAAGTACTCAGAGTGGTCTAAAAAGATTACACATTGGTTTTAGAAATCCAGAATCATGAAATCATTAGAGCAAAAGTGTTCTGATATAAAGCTGTACTACAGTCCTATGTTCTAACAATCAACAACATGAGGACGAACAGCATGAGGACAAAAGCTCCCACTGGACAGAGCAGGCCACATAGCTATGACCAGAGGTAATGACCGTCCCTCCCACCCCAAAGCTTATAGAGAAAGTTAAAGAAAAAAAAAAGCTCTTCAAAAAGAATAAATATGGATGGATTTCACTACGTGTGGCCAAGAAAAATGCAAACACATGTCCACACATAAACTTACATAAACATTCACACCAGCATCAATTTTAACAGACAAAAAGCAGACACAACCCAAAAGTCTACCAATTAAGTAAAACAGTATATCCACGCAATGGAAACTTAACTAACAACAAAAAAATGGAAGTACTGACACATGCTATACTATAGAAGAGCCGAGCACTGAAGACATGCTTTGAAACCAGTCACAAAGGTTCATCAACAGTAGTGTGGTAGTGCTACTTTATATAAAAGTGTTCAGAAAAGGCAAATCAATTAGATCTGGCATTAATCTAGATCTAATTTGGACTGTTTCTCCTCTTATCGCTATTCATCTTTTTTTAAAACCTGGAATCAAAGGCAAAAGAAATTAGATCTGAGTTGTCTAGTGCTAGGAGAAAACAGAGTGATTGTGGAGTGATGAATAATGGGTACAGTCACTGCTGTATACTCAGAACTTAGAAGAAAATTCTGGTTTTACTTTAGAATGACTCAAAGCAGTAAAAATTAACAAAACAGTAAATCTTAACTCTTAAGTACATGTATTTTCAATAGTTGTACATGTGGAAATGTTACATAAAGTACTTTAGTTTGTACTTGTGTGCATGCAAGCTCAAGCAGCTGTTTCTGTGTGAGGGGGAGGAGGCCACTAGGTACACCTTTATTTCAAGGAACAGCTGTTTACCTGAAGCCATGTAAAGGTACGCAAGCCTGACTACTGGACAGACATTTTTCTCCACAATGAAAGAACACCTATAACTGTGAGAAAAACAACTCATAGCATTTTTTGCAAACAATGAAAATTCAATTTTTTTTTTTTTTTTTTTTTTTTTTGCAGAACTGGGGACTGAACTCAGACCCTTGCGCTTGCCAGGGAAGCGCTTATTCCACTGAGCCATCTCCCTGGCCCCGAAAATTCAATTTTAAAATTAAAGTTAGAAAATTTTTATCTGCCATAATGAGAGCAACACCTTTTCATATACTTAAAGGATCTTCTGAAGAGAAGATTGGTGATATTAACACGTGATTTTAAAAAATATTTTACAATTAAATGCATTATCATTTGAAAGATTTGCTTAACTCAGGGAGCCAATATTTTCTCAAAGCCCAACCCGTAATATAAACTCAAGCATGGATAAACACCCACTTAGGATAAAAACAGGGCAACAGAACAGTAACAGTACACAAGTTCACTAATATAATACACTTTTAAAATGCACACAACTACCTTTTAGAAAACTAAAACCTGTCCCCTAAAAGAATTATTACAATAACTCTTGATCAACAATTTTTATGAAGCTGTTTTTTGGTTTTTGTTTTTGTTTTTTTGTACTTCAACAAAAAACAATATATTACACTAGGTTTTTAGGAACTTGGGAATAATCACACTTTTCGTTTTCTTAACAGAGTATAGTATACTAATGGATATCCTAATACACTAATCTTACATTCCTGAAATAAATGGCTTTCTCATGGAGTATTTATGTAGTGTTGACCTTTGTTTGCTTTGTTTTTGTGTTATATTTTTGCACAGATATACACAAAAGATGCTGGCCTATAATATTTGATGGTAGGGCCAGCCAGATAGCTCAGTGGATTAAAGTGCCTGCTTAAGCAGACACAGAGGCCAGGGATTCGATCCCAGGCCTACTGTGCCAGTCCCGACCCCCGGGGCGCGCTGAGACAGGTGACTGAGACTGGGCATGGTGGTGCACACCTGTAATCCCACGGCTTGGGAGGCTAAACACAAGAGGATCACTACAAGTCCAATCTGTATGGTGAGACCCTGTAAAGCCTTTACTAAATACATTAAAAAATATATATGTGATGGTGACTGGGTTGTCTGTCATCGTTTTATCACTCTTTAAATGACTATCAGTCATCAGTTTCAGTATCAGTATTATCCATAAACTGCTAAGGAGCATACATACTGCTATATCGTCTGGGGAGAAATTTGGTAGTACCTTAGAAAAATAGAACTGCATTATCTCTTGACAGTAAACTAATTTCTAGAAATATCAGTACTTCGTTTTTATTGTGGAATAATACTCTATTACATAGCTCAGTTATATAAGTAATATTTCATCTATTATTCATTAGCTAATACACATTTTGTGCTACATCTACTTTGGCCTGTTATGAATAATGCTGCTAGGAAAACTGGTATGTTACTTATTCTGCAGACACGTTTTCATTTTCCTTGAGTAATATACCTGCGAGTAGAACTGCTGGGCACATGGTGATTTTATAGTTAGTGTCTAAGGAATTCCCAAAATGTTACCTACAATGGCTGCACTATTTTATGGTTCCATCAGCAATGTGTAAAGCTTCTTGTTTTACCCACATCCTTCCTACCACTTGCCTCTGTCTGTCCTTGCATTACTGCTTCCACAGGATAAAGGAAGACCTCCCTATGGCTTTTTATACATATTTCCCTGATGTTTATTCATTTAAGTTACCTCCACTCTCCTATAATTATGGATACACATTTATCTGCCAATGCAAAGTATATGCATTCTAGGTAACTGCCAAAAGAACGTAGCTTTAAGTTAGCTCCACTTACTACCATTCCCAAAAGCCCACTTTTACACCACACAGCAAGAATGAGACTGTCCCACCGATCTATCAGCAGTTCTTAAAGTATGATGATATCAGAGGCCCTAACCCTCTGTTTCAAACTAGAACATTTAAAACACTGGCAGGCCCATTTCATACCAACTGAATCATAACCTCTGGTGTGGAGAACCACCCTGCTGATTCTTCCTACTTTATAAATGTGGACATACACTGCTCTAGAACAATGGTAAGCAAACTATGGTCCAAAAGGTCAAATCCAGCCAGTCACCCATTTCTATAGTTTTATTGAAACATTATCACTTCCATTTGTTTACCTATTGTCTTCAACTACTTTTGCAACAAAGCTGCAGTCACAAAGCTATGACAGGAATTTATGGCCTATAAAGCTCAAACCATTTGCTGTCTTTTTATAGAAAGTCTGCTGGCCCTGCTCTAGATACCTAGTCTATATGATGAACCACCTCAGAATACCAAAGGACTGGGTATTTGAAAGTATACTGCTGCGCAGCCTCCAAGAATGGAGTCAAGGTCCAGCCACATAGCTCAGAGGATTAAAGCGCCTGCAAGCAGGTTCAGGGAATGGGGTTCAATCACCAGGCCTGTGGTGCCAGCCCCGCCCCCGGGGGCACTCTGAAAGGGCAACTTTCAGAGTGGGAAAGTTGAGACTGGGAGTGATGGCACACACCTGTAATCCCAGTTCTTGGAAGGCTGTAAACAGGTAGATCACTACAAGTCTGATCTAGTAGTGAGACCATGAACACCCTACCCTATAGACCCTTCCCTAAAATACAAATAAATACATAAATAAATTTTTAGAATGTTAAAAAAAAAAAAAAAGAATAGAGTCAACTAAATTATGCTCTGGCTAAAACCTCTTGGCTTATGCTAACAAGGCCATTTTTTAAAAACCATTCAGCTATAATCTCTCTCTGATAAGGCTCAGAGGCAACACAATCCTTCATTTCCAGCACAACAATTGAAAGAATGAAAACCAAAAATTTATGAGTGAAACACTCCTCTTATCGCTATTCATCTTTCTTTTAAAACCTGAAATCAAACTCAGGACCTTGTGGTTGTCAGGCAAGCGCTGTGCCACTCAGCTGTATCACCTGCCCTCTAGTTATCTTTTAATGGTATCTGTTCACCCCAGCCGACAGTCCCTTTTTGACCCTCCCCTTCCTCAAGTGACAGAATTAGTCAGGTATAGAATGGAACCTATAAGACTTGGCATGGTCGTGCACATCTGTAATCTCAGCTCTTGGGAGGCTGTAAAAAGGTGGATCACTACGAGTCCGATGTAGTAGTGAGACCCTGAACACCCTATAGACCCTTCCCTAAATTACAAAAACAAAAAAGACAGAATGGAACCTACACTGGTCATCTAGACAGGAGTTACTACCCAGGTAACTCTAGATGGAACTTTTAACATGTTAAGAAAACTCAAGATTCTATCTTTCCAATATTGAACACCTTGTCCCATTTCATTTAAACTGAGACATAAGTAGTAAACACACTTTACTTCAGTAAACACGTTTAA